GTCTTCTTAGGCAAGATGGACTGGGGAGTGAATGTATATCTTGACTTCTGGAATGTATATGGTACCTAAGTGGAGTTGGTATGAAATAATTAGGGTGGTACAAGATGGTCCTGTGTATGCAAAGGAAATTCTTACAGAGGTCACTGTAATAGGGGGAGAGAGTTTGGTTCACTGAGTTATAATCATGAGTTATTGCCAGAGATATGGTCTTTGGACTACAGAAATATATGATCTTAGGTCTGGGGTCCAAGAACAAGTATTCTATCATCCCTACCTTGAAGCCAGTACCAGTGTAAATTCCTAAAACTTCAACCTTACTCAGGACTTTTCTGTCTTTACTTCTTGAAGATTTAGCTCAATTTAATCTTAAATTGACATATAATTCCTTTGTTTAGAGATTGAAGAGTTGAAGATACTTGCAGAGGACTAATCCATCATCTTGTGATTGATAGAAGCCAGTCCAGTTCAGGCCTAAGGCTCTTGTACCTTCTAGTGTCCAATGACCCAACAAGGTGGGGCCATAAGTGCTGCAGTAAGGCCTCATTCCTTGGTAATTTTATCCATTCAGTGATCTCCCCACTCAATTTTTTTTTTCTTCCAAGCTTCCCTCATACTTCTATTCCCTCTTGTTCCTATACAATCCCATTAGGGCCCAAGCTTTTCCAATCTTTTTTAAATTGACAAAGACCTAATATGACAAACCTATTTGAAAATGCTAAAGGTAGAAGGTCTTAAGAGTTGACCATTTTTGTTCCTGAAATTTTTTAAAATTAATTTATTTTTAGTTTTCAACATTTACTTCCGTAAGATTTTGAGTTCCAAATTTTCTCCCCATCTCCCCTTCCCCCACCCCAAGACAGTGTGCATTCTGAATACCCCCTCCCCTGATCTGCCCTCTTTTCTATCACCCCCCTCCCTTCTCCTATCCTCTCCCCCTTCTATTTTCCTGTAGGGCAGGATAGATTTCTATACCCCATTGCCTGTATATCTTATTTCCCAGTTGCATGTAAAATCAGTTTTAATATTTGTTTTTAAAACTTTGGGCTCTAAATTCTCTCCCTTCCTCCCTGCCCACTCACCCTCATTGAGAAGGCAAGAAACTCGATACAGGTTATACATGTATAGTCATGCAAAACACTTCCATAATAGCCATGTTGTGGAAAAACTTAACTATATTTCCCTCCATCCTATCCCACCCCCCATTTATTCTCTCCTTTGACCCTGTCTCTCCTCAAAAGTGTTTGCTTCTGAGTACCCCCTCCCCCAATCTGCCTTCCCTTCTATCATTCCCCCTGTCTTATCCTTCCCCCCTATTTTCCTGTAGGGTAAGATAGATTTCCATACTCAATGGAGTGTGTATGTTATTCCCTCCTTAAGCCAAATCTGATGAGAGTAAGATTCATTCATTCTCTCCCCTCTCCCCTCTTCTCCTCCACTGTAAAAGCTTTTTTCCCCCTCTTTTATGTAAGATAATTTACCCCATTCTACCTCTCCCTTTCTCCTTCTCCCAGTACAATTCTCTCTCACCCCTCTTTTATGTAAGATAATTTACCCCATTCTACCTCTCCCTTTCTCCTTCTCCCAGTACAATTCTCTCTCACCCCTTAGTTTGTTTTTTAGATATCATCCCTTCATATTCAACTCACCCTATTCCCTCCAACTACCCTAATACTGAGAAAGGTCTCATGAGTTACAAGTATCATCCTTCCATGTAGGAATGTAAACAATTCAACTTGAATAATTCCCTTATGATTTCTCTTTCCTGTTTACCTTTTCATTCTTGAGTCTTGTCTTCGAAAGTCAGGTTTTCTGTTCAGCTCTAGTCTTTTCATCAAGAATGCTTGAAAATCCTCTATTTCACTAAACATCCATTTTTTCCCTGAAGGATTATATTCAGTTTTGCTTGGGTAGGTGATTCTTGGTTTTAATCCTATCTCTTTTGCCCTCCAGAATATCATATTCCAAGTCCTATGGTCCCTTAATGTAGAAGCTGCTAAATCCTGTGTTATCCTGATTGTGTTTCCACAGTACTTGAATTGTTTCTTTCTGGATGCTTGCAATATTTTCTCCTTGACCTGGGAACTCTGGAATTTGGTCACAATATTCCTAGGAGTTTTCCTTTGGGGATCTCTTTCAAGAGGTGATCGGTGGATTCTTTCCATTTCTATTTTACCGTCTGGTTCTAGAATATCAGGACAGTTTTCCTTGATAATTTCTTGAAATTTGATTTTTAGGCTTTTTTTTTGATCATGGCTTTCAGGTAGTCCAATAATTTTTAAATTATCTCTCCCGGATCTATTTTCCAGGTCAGTTGTTTTTCCAGTGAGGTATTTCACATTATCTTCTATTTTTTCATTCTTTTGGTTTTGTTTTATAGTTTCTTGATTTCTCATTAAGTCATTAGCTTCTATTTGCTCCATTCTAATTTTAAGGAATTATTTTCTTCAGTGAGGTTCTGGACTTCCTTTTCCATCTGACCAATTCTGCTTTTTAAGGCATTCTTCTCATTGGCTTTTTGGACCTCTTTTGCCATTTGGGTTAGGCTATTTTTTTAAGGTGTTATTTTCTTCAGTATTTTTTTTGGGGGGTCTCCTTTAGCAAGCTGTTGACTTGTTTTTCATGATTTTCCTGTATCACTCTCATTTCTCTTCCCAGTTTTTCCTCTACTTCTCTTACTTGTTTATTAGAATCCTTTTTGAGCTCTTCCATGGCCTGGGACTGATTCATATTTTTCTTGGAGGCTTTGGATGGTAGGAGCTTTGACTTTATTGTCTTCTTCTGGTTGTATGTTTTGATCTTCTTTGTCACCAAAGTAAGATTCTATGGTCTGACTTTTTTTGCTCTGTTTGCCTACATTCCCAGCCAATTACTTGACTATTAAACCCTGTTAAGGTAGAGGTCTGCTTCCAGTGTGGAGAATATACTGTCCCAAGCTTCAGGGGTTTTGTGCAGCTGTTTTCAGAGATATTTCTAGGGACCTATAAATTTTTAGTTCTTCCAAAGTGGTATGATCAAAGGCAAGGTGTTTACTCCTTTCCTGGCCTGTGCTGTGGTCTATTAGTGACCACAAACACTGCTTTCTGTCTTGGAACTGTGAGGAGGGTTCTCTCTGCACTGCTGCCACCAGCTTTGCCATTCCAGCACTCCTCCTTGCCCCAGGACCACAACTCAGGACTGTGACTTAGATTCAAGCAGAGGCAAAGCAAGAGAATCTTGCCTTAGCACCAGCAGAGATCCCTGCAATCCCCTTCACTCAATCCCCACTCCGTCTGTGGCCCGAGCTCCTGAAGTAGCCACCACCCCAGGGCTGCAGCGGGACTGGGACCAAACTGAACTCCTCTCTCACCCAGGCCTGGTAGACCTTTCCTACTGACCTTCTAAGTTGTCTTTGGCATTTGTGGGTTGAGAAGTCTGGAAACTGCCACAGCTTCCCTTGATTAAGTCCCTGAGGCCTGTTCCAGGTTCGTTGAGGCCCCATCTTTGCCTGCTCAGGCCACACTGAACTGTGCTCCTCTCCCAGCCTGGTGCAACAGACCTTTCAATCAACCATCCAGGTTGTCTTGGGCTGGAAATTTGTTTCACTCCACCTTTTTGTGGGTTCTGCTGCTCTAGAATTTGTTTAGGGCCATTTTTTACAGGTATTTGGAGGGGTTTGGGGGAGAGCTCAAGCAAGTCACTGTTTTTACTCTGCCATCTTGGCTCTACCCCTGAAATTTCTAAACTACAAGTATATTATAACAAGGAAGGGCCTTATTTTTAAAATAATATAAATTATTAACTTATCAAATTACTTTGTAACATATAATTTGTACAAATAACAACAATGTATCAACTGGGACAGATGAGATGATGTGAAAAAATTTTGCACCAATTGAAAAATAGTATTTATCTGTGTACACCCATACATACATATGTATGTATGTATGTATGTATATATGTGTATACATGCATATATATTTTCTACATATGTAAATGTAGGCTTTCAAAAAGCTATATTCTAAGAATATTGGCTCTTCTCAATCAAATATTTATTAAATGCCTACTATGTGCCAGGCACTGTGCTAAGTACTGGGAATACAAAAAGATGTAAAAAACAGTACCTGTCCTCAAGGAGTTTACAGTCTAATGGGGGAGATAACATGCAAACAAATATATACATAGCAAGCTATATACAAGATAAATAGGAAATAACTAATAGAGGGAGGTATTGTAATTAAGGGGTTGGGGACAGCTTCCTATAGAAGGTGGGATTTTATTTGGGGCTTAAAGGAAGCCAGGGAGGTCAGCAGTTAGACGAAGGACAGCATCTCAGCGTGGGAGACAGTGGGAGGAAAGGTCTAGAGCTGAGAGATGGAGTGTCTTGTGGAACAGCCAGGAGGCTAGTGTCACTGGATCGAAGACTATTTGGTGGGGAGGAAGGTATAAGAAGACTGGAAAGGTAGGACAGGGCTATATATAAAGTGCTTTGAATGACAAATAGAGCGTTTTGTATTCTCCCTTAAAATGCTGCTGTAGAGTTAGGAAGAAGCAATGTTAAGCTGCCCCTTCCTGCTTTGCTAGTAAGCAGATCCTTTGGGAATGGGCTGCAAACTGTCAGAGCTGGCTATAGGCTTCATCAGCATGGGTCTCTGCCCTGAGTAACTTGTTTTCACTGGCTGTCTTCCGGGTCCCTCATCATCTTCATCTCATGGCTTCCCTGGCATTTTTCAAATCCCACAGAGCTAGTTCCTGCTGGGTTTAGACCCCCTCACTTCAGGTCTGATGGAATAGCCCATGTTGGTACCCAACCCACTTCCTCCCTCTTCTGTCCTCTTTGCCTTCATGTGGTGGGGGAGAATCAGCTTCTGGAGCTTCTTCCTGGGTAGGTGGAAGATGGGGAAATTCAGACAAAGCCACTGCAGCCTGGGGAGGGGGGTGCCTGCCCTAAGACCAGGCCTAATCACAAGGGGATCCACTTCCAGGCTCCCTGATGCCCCATTGGCTTACTTCTTCCCTTTCAGGTGACAGAGCAGAATTGGTGTCTGCTGCTTCTTGTGGGATGAGCGACTGCTGGAGAAAGGTGTTTGTGTGGAACCACTAGAGCAGTGGGGACCGTGTTTCATGCAATCCTGTAAGTTTGCTTGTGTTCTTGCCATGCATACATGGAGACTGGTGGGAGAGGAGTATTAGAATTTTCTAGAGTTAATGGATAACAGATTTTATTGTAACTTGGATCCTATCTTTATCCATATATGGAGCCATGTAATATCTTATGCATAATTCCTTTGGGGAGGAGGGGTGATAAGGTTTGTAAAGAGTGACACTTCTGTGACCTTTCTGGTCATGTGACCATTCTAATAAACACTCATGTTTTGGAGCACTTTTCAATAAGAAATTTTTGTACTTGAGCCCCCCAATTATCCAGGTAACTGAGAAAGGCTCTATGAGGACTGGCTATCTTAGCTAAGATACAGAGTGGCTGGACATACCAACAATCCTTTGCGGTGACTGGGAGTAAAACCAGCTGAACATGTAGAAAACTGCAGCTCTGAAGCCAGTTAAGCTCCTAGCAGCTTTCAAGCAGACCTGCAGCCATTTGGTGGCTTACGGACCTTCAAGAAACATCCTTGTCTTCAGAGACTCCGCTGTCAGTTATGAGGCTCTTAGACACATCCTGTTTTACATCCCCTTACCTTATGATTTGTGCTCCAGCCTGCTTATCGCCAGAAAGCCTTCTGGATTTGTGGATCAAAGGGCCACAGCTCTGACACCTGGAATTCCCCACTCCCCCCTCCCCTTGGGAACTGGCTCCGTGACTCAGTCCTTTCTAGGAGTCCCACCTTTCTCCCCAAATTTCCTGCCTTTCTTTGTTCAAAAAGTACCTATATTCTCCCTATTCATTACTTCGTGGGTTGTTAAACATTAGGCTGGCAGTTCCCATGCACATGTTTTAGTCCCCTGCTTAATAAAAATCTTTAATTTCACAGGCATCATAAAACCTCTGGTTTTCTTCTCTTTAGGAAAAAGGGCGCTTTAGTCTGGAGAACTTTGTGTTCTCTGGGTGTCTTTCCCCTTGGGGGGAAAGAGAGACCTAAATTCCCTAAAGAAGGTGACTGCCTCTGTTTACGGTGTCTTTCACTCTTACACCCTAGGGCCAAATGGTATTAACCTTATTTTGCAGGTATTAGACTATTCTTAGTAACATGCATTTGTTGAGTTCCTCTCTTCTCAAGAGATTAGGTACCTTACAAAATGACAATGACCCTATAAGCCCTCTTTTGAGAGTAGAAGGTTATCCCTGATAATAAAATGCACCCCATAATCCCCTCAGTTGTTGAATTTATTGCACTGTAAGGCTGGTATGACCATGTCATACTCTTACTATAGCTTCCCATTACCACCAGCATCAAATATAAAATCATCTGTTTGGCTTTTAAAGCCCTCTAAAACCTGGCCCCCTACTACTTTTCCAGTCTTCTTCCACCTCACCCACAATGCTGACTGGCCTCCTTTGTATTCCTCCCAGAAGACACTCTATCTCCTGATTCTAGATTATTTACACTGGCTCTCTTAAATGTCTGGAATAAACTCCCTTATCATCTGTATCTCCTGGCTCCTCTGGCATTTTCCATGTCCTACTTTCTTAAATCCTACTTTCTATGAGAAAATTTTCATAATAATAAAATTAACAACAATAGCTAGCATTTATCTAGCACTTTAAAGTTTGCAAAACACTTCACAAATATTGTCTCATTTGATCCTCATAACAACCCTAGAAGGTTAAGTGCTATTATCATCCCCATTTTGCAGATGAGGAAACCAAGGCAGACAGCGGTCACAGACTTGCCCAGGGTGACAGGACTGGTAATTGTCTGAGGCCAGATTTCAGTGCAGGCCCAGTGTGTGTCATCCAGCTACTAGCATTTCTCCTTGGTGTTCGTGCCTTCCCTCTGGGATGTCCCAGTGAAGACTTCTCAGTGTAATTAAGGTAATGAGTTCAGAAGGTAGGATAGGGTTAAGAATAGATTACTGTAAGATCTTCTCTTTTTAGTGCCAGATATTAGCAGTTAAAATTTGTCTAGTTAAGCCCTGGCCTGCCTTCTGATCTCATCCAGATGTGCCTTTTGTCCCAAGCCCCGGAAAACCCTTAAATGTTCAAGTCCCCTTATCTCCCTTTGACAGGTTCTTATTCAGATGTCTTTCTGTTCCCAGCATTATCTGTTCAATCCTTGAGACCTTCCAAAACAACTGTAAATTATCTTCCTAACTGTACATTTTTAGCCGAGTTAAGGGAGAGCTGTGAGGGAGGGGAAATTGAACCTTCAGGGTTATATAAACTAACTTCTACCTCTGTGGGTTGTCTCCCTTCATCAGAGTCCACTGATGTGGGGACACCCAAATCTCGAGATTTGAATAATAATAATAATAATCAATAATAAATTAACTTTCTGTTTCTCCTTGGACACCTCTGTTTTGTTTTATTTTTTTTAATTTTTTTTTTATTTGAGTGGCATCCCACACACCCAGTTTATCCTCTGTGTAACTGGTTCTGTACATAATAGTTTGCACATTGTCTCCTTCATTAAACTATGCTTCTTGAAAGCAGGAACTGGCTTTTTGCTTTTCTGAGTGTTCCCCGGGCTTAGCACAGTGCTTGGCAAATATTAAGCACTTAATAAATGCTTGCTGACTTGGTATCTATTTTCTTCTCCCATAGGGTAGAAAAGTAATTTTTTCCAAGCTTTTGAATTTGGTGTTTTCAAGTATCTCTTTAAGTTTCTAGTCTAAATTTTACCTCCTCTCTCTTTAGGTTAATTAGGAGCAGTATAAGGAGGCCAGGGGCATTAAGTGTGGCAACCTTTGGTGTATATGAATGTATTTGTAGCCAACTCTCCAGTCTTCAGTCAGGCTTGTTTTCTGAGTACTTATTAATCAGTGTTGGGGAGGCATCACCCAGCCTGCAGCTTCTGTATTACCTGCTATCCAGCATGTAGTAGGTCATCTCTTACCTGTTAGCCAGACCCTTATCTTATATGATGCAGAAATTGGGGAGAGCTGAGACACAATGGCCTATCCTCTTTGGCTTATTTATCCGAATTGTCTTTATTTCATTATGAAAGTTACCAATAAAATATGGCTCCACCTAGATTCCCTTGCTGATCTCTAGTGATCGATCTACTTTGATGAATTTTTTAATATACAACTTTTACTTCTTTTGCCCTTCCTTAGTTTTGCCTTGCTAATCAAAGGGAAAGCCCAAACAAAGAATTTTCCTTTTGACGGAGAGTTCACTGGGGAACCATGGATGAATTCACAAGCGGCCTTCTCCCTGTTTTTTGGGAGTCTAGATTATGGTTATTGCAAGTGTGTTCTCTTTGCTATGTTTTAACTTAGTTTCTTTTATTGCTTTGCCTAAATTAAGGTGATGTCCTGGTGTGAGTGAAAATGTGCTCATTTGTTCTGCTGCCCTTTCCAGGGTCCCCCACTGTGTTTCGGGGTTTGCAAGCTAATCCCAATTCCCAGAGTTTACTTAGTTTGAGTTAAGAAAAGATACACATCAATACATACCACTATGAGCCTTGCAGCCCCAAAAGGAAGGAAATATTAGCTCTCTAGGTTAGGCTTATTATAATGCAAGACTTGATCTGCCCACTAGACAACTTGGACTTTGTGGGCAGCTGGTTATCTGAAGTGCGCTCAAGCAGTCATGAGGTATGTCTGAACTTATTCATACTCAAATGTAGCAACCTCTCTGGTTGGGACTGAAGACCCAGAGGGCGGCTACTATCTTGGGTTTTGGGATAACTCTGTAGGCTTCATTCGTTAGTAGTTTTTCTCAGCCTTAGACACAATTAACTCAAAAGAAGAGCAGTGGCAGAGTGGGCCCAGTAGAAACATTGTCCCCGCCCCCGTAAACCTGGGGCACACTCTTCAACAAATGCACATAGCGTCCGCGGACAGAGTGGGGTCAAACTTAGAGAACAAGGGTAGTTAGACACAGGTGTAGGATACACATAGGCAACCCACAATTCCTGGCATATATACCACAGGGTCTGGAAAGCTTCTTCTCTTCAGAGTCCTTGGGAAACCTCCCTTGGGGAAGTTTGCCTGACAGGCAGCTTGCCTGTTCCCGCCTACTCTGCTCCATAGCCTATGGAGCTGCGATTGGGGTCCCACTCTTTGAAGGTGCTTCCTTCCTCAAGTGACTGGCTCTCTGAATCTGCGTTTGTCTTCTGTCTCTACTCCTTACGACATATCCATTGTCAAAGGGAGGTGGCCAGTGCAAGAAAGGGGAGGAGAGAAACTCTTCAGCTATCAAGAACAGTTGCCTCTCACAGGCCTTGGTTCTTTGGGTTTCTCCCAAATTCCTCAGTTTAGCTATTAAAATCCCCATTGGGAGGGTCAATTGGTTTGCTGACCTAATACCACTGTTCCATAAACTCAATCAGAAAAAGATGTTCACACCTCATAAAGGGATTAGGGAATAGATTCATCTTCACAATTAGCTCTAACACCTCATTAACACTTTGGGATTATATTCTTCTAGTCTTTTAAGGCTAGACAGGATCGAAGATCAAGCTATCCTAGCTACATACAACCTGCATGCTAGCTGTGTCCTCCTTACTGCTTCTGCTCTTTATGGCAACTGGGGAAGAAGAAGTCCCAGCCAAAAAACAACTTAGTTTGTGAAAGTAAGCTACCTTCCTCTCCAAGTCTGGACACTAAGCAAGGGCTTGAGTGTGACTCGAAACATTATCTGGATTTTTTGCATTTGATCTCTAGTTGATAGAATGTGTGTGGAGAATCTTCCTGGTTCCACTGTCTATTCCAAGAAAACAACTTCCCTCCCAGAATAGGTTTAAGAATTTGGCACCCCATTTCTGAAAGACTGCCAAACCAGGGACCATGGTATGAATGTTAACTGTCTCTTGCGGATATGTAACAACTACAAATGTGTTGGTTTGTATGGTATCACATAAATACACATTCAAGCACTGTTTTTAGCATTTCAACCCACTTGATGACACTAGTAATACCACACATAAGGACCTAAACTAATCATTTAACCTTGTCCTGAGGCAGACCAGTCAACTTTTGGACAGGTCCAGTTTTTAGCACATTTGTTCGTGATCAAACCTGAATTTGCTTCTCTACAAATCTTGCCTATTGCTACCTTTTATTTGCTCTGAGAGAAGTGATTATTTTTTATTATGTTAATAACCAGTTATTAAATTAGGATTAAGGCTTTTTCTCCCTACTTCCTTATTCAGGGACCAGCCTGCCAAAGTCAGTCAGTTTCTGAAGGACATTGCTGATAAATGAGATTGTCCAAATCCTCCAGGAACATTCTTCTTGGTGGGACCCCACCCAGATAGAAGGCCTTACTTCTATTTAAAGTGATCTACAGGATCTAATCTAGGTGAATTCTTACTTTAGGAAAGTAAGCCCGAGTCACTGTACCCCACCACTGTTGTTTAGGATAACCCAGTTTATGAAGGAGAAAACAGACCAGAACGGTTTGGTTCCAGACCATTCAACCAGAATGGTGATAGATTCCTTTGTTCGGATGGCTGGAGGCAGCTGAGCTGTAGGATCAAGTCACATCTCAGCAGGAGGGGCTGAAGACTTTTAGTCCACCTCCTCATTAATTGTTCACCAGTCAGGGTGGAGTTTCACCTGTCAAGGGCACCTCCTTTTCCAAAGGTATTTAAGCAGTCAGTGATCTCCATGGTTTTGTCTTTGGTTATGGAGAGAAACCGCTTACTATCAGTGTCTTGATTATCAGCTAGTCTAATTAATAAATTGATTATTAATTACCCAGAAACTCTTGGGGTTTTTTTTCCTTTCCTTTTTTTTTTTTTTTAAATATTCATGTAAAATGGTCAGAAACAGGGATCTTTGGGCCCTGCTGAATTCAGAAAGGATGTTCAATCATCTTAATTGGGCAAAAAACTCAAGGAGTTCCTAGTCCATACTAATTTAAATCTCTGTTTTATTTACCCCCTAGCCTATAATCTTGGAAAACTTGAAAGCAGAAGAAATAATAACCCATGATGATACATACACCCATGTGCCTCCAACTGTCCTCTAGAATGCTTCCATTCTTGGCACTTAAGATATTGAAAATGTCATTATTTAGTACAACATGTGGGCAGCTTTCTGTACACATGTCCTGCCACTAAGAGACAGTCATGGTTTCTATGCCAGCTGTCATCAAAGGAAGTGACAGACTGGTTCTGTGAATTATAACTATTGAAAGCTCTCCAAGGACAGGGATCTGTTCCTATTCATCTGTTCTTGTTTGCCTTTTCATTTGCCTCGGCTATATTATAGTCATGTAGGACAAATAACCCTTCTCACTCAGGATAGCCCTTTATATACAGAAGAAAGATGGATTATGGACAGAAAGGATGAAAGGAAGAAAGAGATTATGTTCTCCCTGTATTCTCTTCTCTAGGCTAGCCATTTCCATTCAGAAGCTCATAGGTCTGGAGCTAGCAGAGTCATTCTAGGTCATTTAGTCCAACCCCCTCACTGGACAGTTGAGGCACCTGAGATGTAGAGGTGTTAGGTGACCTGCTCACAGTCACACAGTAGTTAGCACCCAAACCCAGGTCCTTTGACTGCACATCTAGTCCTTCTCCCACTGGACCCCATCACCTCCTCTCCTTCAATCACTTGAAAGCCTTCCCAATGTTGGCGTTCCTAAAACGGGGTCACCCAGTTAGTGGTGTTTACTTGCTGCTCTCCATATGTGGCATTCCACTTCCCACCTGTACCTTTGCTCAGGCTGTTCATTTCCTCATGACTGGAACACAACTATCTCCTTACCTATTAGAATCCTGAGTTGGCCTTGACGGCTTAGCACAAGGGCCACTTCACATAAGAAGTCTCTCTTGATCTCCAAATTTGCTTGTTTTGGCCTTCCCTGAAATCACTTTGCACTCAGACAGTATCTTGTGTTTACTTATCTGTGTGTACATGTTGTTTTCCCTCAATAGAGTACAAGGACCTTGACCCCAAGGGTTTGTCCTTTTTTTTTTTGTACCCCCAGAACCTAACTTAGTGCCTGACACACAGGTATGTATGTTTAATAAATATTTGCTGAATGGATGATGCCCAGAACTGAGTACAATATGCCAGATGTGTTCTGATCAGGGCAGAAAACAGCAGGATCATCACTTTGCTAGACCTGGACATTTCTCTTCATGCATCCAGATTGTCTTTATTTCACTTGAGAGCTTAATTTTGTTTGCCTACAGCAGGGATGGGGAAGCTGCTGCCTCAAGGTTACATGTGGCCCTCTAGGTCCTCAAGTGCAGCCCTTTTGGATTCAAAGGGCTTCAAGGCCACATGTTCCCCACCCTGGCCTAGACCCTAGGTTAAGAAGTTCTGCTTTTAAGAAGGTCCCTTATATTAGACTTTATTAAACTTCATCTGTCAAGACCGCTGGCTGTAACCAAGGTACAGCACTGGTAGAGTCAGGAACACCCAAGTTCAAATCCAGCCTCAGATGGGTAATAGCTGGGTGACCCTGGGCAAATCACTTAAGCTCTATCATATTTGTAAAATGGGGATAAAAATAGTAACTACCACCCAGGGTTGATATAACAATAAAATAATATTTTAAAGCCCTTTGTAAAACTTAAAACATTTTAAGTACATGTAAATGTTATAGAAATGTAAGCTTTTCTTCTTAGAAAGCACTATCATATTTTCAATTGAAACTTCTAATATATGTTTTATAATGCTGATAAATGGTCAATCCATTCCACATTCATATCATAATTCTTGTCATGATTCCTAAGCTTTTTAGATTAAAAAAAAGACTTTTGTGAAGTAATATGAAATAAGGGATATAATTTGAGTTATATCCCTGACTTATCTCTTTCAAAATTTCCTAACTTTAGGGGCAGCTAGGTGGCGCAGTGGATAGAGCACCGGCCCTGGATTCAGGAGGACTTGAGTTCAAATCAGGCCTCAGACACATAACACTTGCTAGCTGTGTGACCCTGGGCAACTTACTTAAACCCCATTGCCTAACAAAAAAATAAATAAATAAATAGACAAACAAAATTTCCTAACTTTAAATAAACACCAAATTTGGTTTTATTATGGAGATGGAGAACTGGTTTCAGAGTCAGAAAGACCTAGGTTTAACTACTGCCTCTGACACACACTGACCATATGAACCTGGGCAAATCACTTAGCCTCTTGGTGCCCCAGGAAACAGAATCTCTAAATTGCAGAGAAGTTAAGTTCTCTTGAAATCACAGGTTTGATTACGAAATATTATTAGGTGCAATCCAATGTTCAAGCCTGTTGGGAACTTTTTGAATCCTGATTCCATCATATAACATAATTTATTTCTTCTAGCTTTTTGTTACCTGTGTATATAAGCTTGATATTTTTGCCTTGCTACAAGTAACTGATAAAAACATCAAACAGTAAAAATCACTGGGGCACTCCACCGGATACCTCTCCTTCCATGTTGACAATGAACCATTTTGGGTCCAGTCATTCAACTATTTTTTAATCCATCTAACTATGGCATAATCTAACTCACATCTTACTCAAAAGGACATCATGGGAGACTTTATCAAATGCTTTACTTAAATCTTTGATAAGCTTTATCTACAGCATTTTCCTGATGAAAAAAAGAAAGGTTAGACTGACATGAGCTATTCTTGATGAAGCTATGTTGATTCTTTGTGAGCACTTCCTTTTCTAGCTGTTCCTGGATAATGTGACCAAACAGGGTTCAAATTCAAGATCACTGGCCTCTAGTCTGTGGACCCCATTCTCTTCTCCTTTTTGCCCCTCTCCAGGCTTGGGGCCCCTTGATTGCTTTGCCATACCTTTATAGGACTGCTTCAGCAGTCACAATGTCTGGGATGTAGTTCATTTGGGCCTGATGGCTTCAAGTCTTCAGGAGAAGCTGGCTTCTGGCTGCTGGCTGCTTTCTATCTCTCTGCTTATCTACAATATCAACTCTGTATTAGCCATTTTGGTTCTATTCTTTCTAGTTCAAATTTCATTCTTCTTGATAAAGCAACAGCAAAATAACAGGCAAGATGGTTCTGTTTTTTTTCCGTCAGTAATTTTACAGCATTTCATTCACCCATGTAAATTATTTCTATGTAAAGAGTATTTCTAAAAGTGCTTGAGGTACATACACTTTATGCTCTGAAAATTTAAATGCTCCCTTGAATTCTTACATAGTATTAATTTGCTTAGTAAACTTGCTATTTTCCTCCATAGATGCATAATGGTAAATGTTGGTCCAGCTCTGAATTCCTGAATCCTGTTTTGGTGGGCCTCAGATTGTTCATTTTTATTACGGTATAATAATACTTGTAATCACAGGGTGATTGTGAGAGGGTCCTCTGTCAGTGGTAAAGCATCATATCAATGTAAACTATGATCAATAGCAGTAACAATCCTTAGAAACCTTAAAAAAAGGTGTTTTGCATTTATTTCAGAGATAGATTAGATAAAGAGAGTAAAGGGAAAAGACAGAAATGGATGTCTTCCTTTCTGACCATCGGAAAAGAGAGGAATCCCAGCAGAAGAAAGGTGGTGGTAATAATCTAAGAGGCATGGAGCCGTTTGCCATTTGTCATCTTCTACTCAGGGTCCCAGCTTGGTCTGCCCCAGGGCCTCACATCTGGACTATAGAGTGTTTGCTAGACGTGTATTAATGTTACAGTGTTAAGAAATATCGTGTCACCTTTTAGATACCATGTCAGCATAGTTTAAGTGATCAAACATACATACATATATATATATATATATATATATATATATATATATATATGAGATAAGATCCTTTACAGGGGAGGGATAATGCCTTAGATCTCTGAATCATCCACAGATTTATACACAGTAGGTGATGAATACATATTTATTTATTTTACATTTGATCTGTTTGGAGCTGGACTTGGAGATGGGAGATCTGGGTTCTGATCCTATTAGTTATGGATAAGTCACTTCTCTGAGCTTCAGTTTCCTCATCTATACAATGGGGGTAATGACACCTGTAAGGCCTACCTTCTAGGGTTGTAGTGAGGCTCAAGTAAGACCTTGAGTAGAAAGCACTTTGCAAACCTTTCAGTGCCTGCTGTCCACTATTGGTTCAGTTCTGCCCTGACTCAGGGTACAGACTTCCACATCTAAATTTGAGATTCCCAGCTTGAAAGAGAAGCCAGTAAAGAAAAGTTATAATAAATTAAAGATGATATTCCCTAACTTCAATTCAGTAGGTCTTATCATCAAGTGCTAAATAAGCTAGATGAAATAGGCTGGATGGGGGCACACTAAGTCTAAGCTACATAGACTGGGCCTTTTGAACTAAAGGAAATGAAGAGAATTTGAAATCAAGAAACATTTCCAACAAACTGATTGCCACTTAACAAGAAAGAAGCTGGGATAAGTGAATACAAATGACTTCTTTGTCTGCTTAAAAGCATCTAGTTATATTTAATAAACTCAGAGAAGGGCAGCATGTTCTAATTTACAAAAACCAAGAGAAAAGAGCTTGAAAACTGCACATTTGTCTCATTACTTCCTGACAGTGTAGTAGCTAGCTTTGGGAAAGTGGCCTGTGACCATGAATGGTATGAAAGGTGACCACTTCTTTTTATGAATCTGAAAGTTATGCTTGAGATATAACCAGGGAAGAAAAGGAAAGAAAAAAATCATACATAAATTACACAAGTGTGTAATTACAAATGAAATGCATTAAATACAAACACCACGTGACTTTGGCTTGTTTATCAGCACTGTAAGCTTCTTGTTTTTAATAGAAATTAAATTAATTGCTTAATATACATAATGTAGTGTTTACTTTCCAGTCCAGTAGCTTTTTAACATTCACTTTCAAGTCCCATGGCAAATATTGTACAACCTCAAAATGTAGCCTGATGTGTGAACTATATCACCACCAGCAACATTAACACAAGAAGAAAGACTTGGGTTTAACCATCAGCTAACAACATATAAAAAAGGAAACATCACACAGACCTGCGGTGGTATCAACATGCATTACCAGGCCAAGGTCCAAAGGAGCTAAACACAGTTTTCTAGCAAGTTGGAAGGACACATCAAAAAGGAATCGGGGGCAGGGATGACTTTTAGCGAGATCCATAGCCGTAGTAGTAAGGTTCATCCGGGCGGAATCCGTAAGCTGTGGCAGGGCGTCCAAGAATGCCAACTGGCTGACCAAAACCATCAACTCCAAGACTAGAGGAAGAGGAAAAGAAATCACGGTTGTTACGTTTCTCATCACAGAGACATATGGCGCAGTTCAAAGAAGAGGTCTGGTATTGTAGAATTCCAAGGTTCCGTTCCTAATAGTGATACTGGTCTTTGGACTCATTAATTGACCTTTATTTTTTCTCTGTTCAAGTTTCTCTGTCCATTAAATGTACATAATTAAGCACAGCTTCAACAATTTAACAAAAGATTTTACATTCCAGAAAGTATCAATAGCTTTCTTCTGGTGGACAAAACAGAAGCAAGTGAGGAAAAGGAAGTTTTGCCAAGCTGTACTAATAATATATTGGCCTACATGAAGCTGGCATTACTAGCCAATTATCAGTACGGCATGTACAATGTTGAAGGGTTGCACTCGCAGCCAAGGAGGGCTAAGCCTTGTAATAAGGCTATGGTGGAATGAAGACTAGAATGAGGAATTCTGACACTCAGACCTCTGGATGTTATGGTGTGTGTAATTTTTAAAGCCTGTTGCTGATATTTGAAGCATAATGTAATCAAACAGTAAATTTCTTCTTGTGACTGATAAAAGGACAAATGTTGATTCTGGACAAATTCATTGCATGTTAATAACCAGAAGCCAAAAGCTAATCTGCTGTGTAGTAAACACAGAAAACCTAAAGGATGGAGAACTTCATTATATTTAAAAGAGATTCTCTGATGATCAACAAATTATTAGGAAATGAATCTGTTTTCCAGATTATCAGAACAATCAAAGAAACACACAGCAATGGGGCAGAGTATTCAGTGTGCCAGGCAAATGGAGTAATTACAACATGCTCATGCAGAGCTCATGCAGTGGGTTCTGGTCCAGCTGTTACCCCACCATCCCCTCCCTCCCTTTTAAAAGAAACCCATTATAGAAAATTTCACTTATGGAAAAAAATATGTAAATGAATTATTTTATATTGTTTAACATCCTGCTGCTTAGAAAGATAACTAGGCCCTCACCATAAAAAAACTTATTAGAATACTAACAAAAAATCTACACAAACAAACAAAAAACCCAGCCTCTAAGAAATCCTTGTAGAAATAACAATGACAATTTAGGGGCTTTAAAAGGAAATTTCTATCTTTGGTAGGGACAGTGCCAGACTAAAATTTAAATATCAAGCAACACACAAAATACATCTCTCCCTTATATGTATGTGTCTGTTTTCAGGGCTCAGGGGAGTATGGTTTCTGGTAAAAAAAAAAATATACTGACCCCAACATAGGCTATATTTGCTCCTCAGATCTGGCTTTCATTGTGTTGTATAATCAGTGTTATTTTTCAGCCTACTTTTTCTTTCCTTTCATAGTGATCTTATATTAAGGGCAGGACCTATATTTCAGATCATGTTAATTTGTACATTTGCTTACTCTGATAGCGTTCTAGAAAATTAAAAATGTTTCTCTTTGAAATATGCAATTTTAAAAGGTTGGTAGAATCTATCAGTATGATTTTTACTATGACTTGAAACCAATTTTTCCCTTATACCCATCCCTTGATTTTGGAGCACATCTCTAATTTTTTTTTAAAAAAGGCAGTATGAAAATATGATTTCAGAGATTATGGATATTGTTTTAGAAATGCATCTATCCCTGAGAGTGAGGCACAGTACATCTTTTTACTAGTAGAGAAAAGGCTGGTCTACCCACAATAGAAGGGAAATAGTTTTGTGGAAGAGTGCTAAAATACTACTTTGTTCTAAGGCACTACTACAGATAAGAAACATGCACATAGTCAAACTCTTGGTTACTAAAGGGTTGCTTATATAATTTATAGTTTATCCAAGTGCCTTACTATGCTTTCTCTTTCTCTCTCTCTGCATTTTAGTTACTGACTACATTTTAACATCTTTACTAGAGGTTGTATATGGTCAGAGATGTGTGAAATTCAAAAGTAATTTTGACACTTACTAGTAATAACTCATTAAAATTTTAATGGAAATAAAAGTTTAAAATTAATTGCCAAAATACATTTTGGGGATCATCTATTTGTGCTCGGGGATAGTGGCTGGTGAGCTGCTCTGGGAGTCAGCTAGCTGTGTGCCCCTGGACAAGACAACCTCGGTCATCTGAGGAATTCTTTACAATATAAATTTCAGGCAAGGTGTCAACTGTGTCACTAGGAGGAGTTTAGTCATCTGGGAATTAGTTCCTTTTATTACTGAAATCCCAGGTGCAGTCTCTGTCTCCTATTGGTTATTTCTAGGATTACTCATTTAAAGATAATTTAACCCTCATTCTCAATGTTTGGATCTCAGACTGGGTTCTTTAAACCTGGAAAATATCATAAATCAATGTACTTCCTTGGAAGTACTGAGGATAATAACCCAAATAATGTATTATTGTTCACTAGAAGAGGCAAAGCCTCAATAGGTTTTTTCTTGATATTTAAACCTGAGTATAATGACCATAAAGGGAGAAAAGGAGGACCTTCCTAAGAGTAAAAAAATGATATTTCAACACCAACTACATTATCTAAAACCTAAATACGTCTAAGAATATAAGCGTATATTCCAGCTGGTCTACAACTGCCATTATAAACTATGCCTTAGAAGTCCATTGGCACTGAGCTAGTAGTAGACTAATGACTCAGAATTTTCTCTAAAATTAAAAGGGCTGAAATATTTGCTTAAAAGGACATTTATTATCCTAAATCTATAAATGGTCAACAGAAATAATTTTTAAAAAATATTACACACATACATATATAATATACATGTATGTATCAGTGTATGTATATGCTTGCAAAACAGAAAAAAAAAATCCAGACGTTAAAGAGGCCTTTTTACATGCAGCACATTGCAAAGGGGGATACCAGCCAGTGATAAGGGCAGGGGAAAGGTGAATGAATCTGTTCTTAGCCTCTTGCCAAGTCTCTGCCTCACTTCCGTAAAAGGAGATCACCTACCTCTGCTGTGTGTTAGGCTTATTTAATGCATATTTGTAAAGCATTTCGAAATCCTTGGATGAAAAGTGCTGCATAAGCGAAAAGCATTATCACGTTATTAACATTAGATTACAGTGAGTATGGAGTTCTTTTCATCTTTTATAATCCCATGTTAGTGATATAAACACACAACAAATAAGGAGTCTTAGGCATTTGAGCAGATACTAGCAACAAAAGATAGATCATTGACTTCAAGTTAATTCTTGTTGAATTTTAGGGCTACAAGACACCTTTGAGATTAAGGTGATCATCTATAGTCTTCTGGAACAATTCCAATGACAGGCTGGTCCCAAGTCCACCCTTCTACCAGTTATTTTCTGAATATCCCCTGAAGGCATGCATGCTAGAGACGTCCCAGAAAGCAGTTTTCTCCTACCTCTTCCTTCTCCCAAAGTACAGCTAGCTAGTAGCAGCCTAAAATGATTTAAATAATCCCACCGAGTTGCCTTAGGCAAAATCTATGATACAGAAGAAATAATTCGGAAGAGATTTAATAGCTCTTAAGTGGATTCCCTTCCATCAAGATGGCAGGGAACAAAACTGGGAATCATCATATCTGAACCTGAAATTAATAACAGGAACTCTTTCTTGTGCAGAAGAGAATGGTGGGGTTCCATTCTATCCATTGGCAAATTTTTGTGAGGCCAGAGGTTTACAGCGATAGGGGAAGAAGGATCTAGGCTTCATGAGAAGAGTTTCCTGGTTTAGTACTTTACAATTTAAGTTATAATGCAGGGAAACTGTGTTTCCTGTCAAGTAGGAAACACTGTGAAGGTCTTCCTGGTTAGGTGGTGACTGTATCTTGAAAGTCAGAGAAAGATTTTCCCTGGTAGAGGGACCTCATGAGAGAGAGAATCCTGGTGATCTACAGAAGGAGTTGACAGGTTGCTAAAGGAGAATCCACCACTGAGCATAACACCTGAAGCCACCTGCAGCAGGGGAGGGATCTGTTTGTTGATAACTGAGGTGGTAAAGAGACTTTTGGGAGAGGGTTACTTCCTAGTGGGATCTGTTGGGTTGGCTTGTGCAGCGCCACCTTCGATGTGGTGGGTTTGGGTGTGTGAGCTGGACATTAGCGACTGGTCTTGTCTGCTGTTACTTCATTGAATTGCTGCCTAAATTAGGATTCTTGATGCCCTAGACCATAGAGACAGCCAAGAGGGCTTTACTTCTTGTACACAGTTCTTACTTTGCAGAGAGGTCTGAGAGTTGAGGATCAGAGAAAATGTCTAGCCTGCCCTCTTGTTGGTCACATGACCTAGAATTGTGATTTAATGCTATTTGGTTTCCTTCTACCTCTTGATACAATTTTTCTTTAATTTTGTGACTATCTGCTTATAAGTGGGGAGTGGCAGTATCACTGGAAAGGGGAACTTTGCAGAGATTTCTTCCACTTCATCAAAAGCTCACTTCTGTATTTCCCAAATTCTCTCTTGGAAGAAACTGGTTAGGATTATTTGAATCGAGGTCAACTGTTACTAGCCCTGACCTAATGGGAAGCTGTACTGGATGGAGTGAGCTGTTCTCCCAGGTTTCTAGCATGTACCTCCCCCTGCCCCCCACAAGGCAGCCCTCCTCTGTACAGTATCACTCGACCAATATTTCATTTGTTTGTTTGTTTCCCAGCAGTTATGTCACACTGTTTGGTTTATGCTAAACTTGTTAGTAATGAACTTATACTGCTACATCTTTTCCATTATTTCTGGAGTCTTTCCCACTTTGTATTGATATAAATATTTTTAGCCTAATGCAGGAATATATATTTACACCTATTCAAGTCCACCTTGTTTAGCTTTGGCCCACTGATCTGGCCTGTCAGCATCTTTTTGATTCCCTTCTCCTTGAGACAAAAACCTACCTCAATCTTTTCTATATGTAAACGGAAAACAGTCATACTTTTTAACTTCATTTTAATAATGTAAGAAAATAGCATAGTGCTACAGCACTTTAGATCTTCAGAAAAAACAGTATCAATACAGAGTGATCCTTCCACTGAGTCAACTCATAGGAGATGACTTCTCTAGAGTAG